AAGATATATTGGACGGTAAAGCACGAAGGATGGATAAAATCCAGAGATAACGTTGTAATAAGAAATTAAGGGATTGTCAGTAAACTCATCTCAAGTAATATGAGTTACAAGAAGATTGATAAACTTTATGTTATTTGTTTTAGCAAAAATAAGCTCATGCATTTATCCAGAATACTTATCGAGGATATTGATGGAAAAAGATCTAAACATTGCTTACCAAATGAGGGATATTAATCTCTGGCGATAATTGTTAAAGCAATTAATTTACCAAAAGAGCTGCCAGAGGAATTCAAGAGTAGTGTAGAAGAGATTCCTCTTTTTAAACAGCCAAATATTCCAAGAAAATCTTATGATTTAACCATGGTTTCAAGGTATTTAAGTCGAAATAATCTATTTGTTTTAAAGGCAGATAAAGATGGTGTATCAACCATCATAGATAGATCAGGCTATATAGAAAAAATGATGATCCATTTAGATGACTAGGAAGCATACAAATTTATAGCGAAGAATCCCATTGAGGGTCTTAAGGTAAGACTCATAAAAGAGCTTAAATGTTGTGCTAGCAACAGAGGTATAACATTGATTTCTTTCTTCAAGGAGACGCTGGGGCACCTCCAGTTATTGTCTTACTAACAACATGGGAGGGGAATATCTTTATGATGGATAGTCAATAAAAAACTACGTGTGATGCATAAAATGTCACCATTTTTATCCAGACAGTTAAAGAAAATAGATGAATATTGAACTATTGAGTAAGTTATTCATATAATTTTGCTAAATTGGCTGATTAGCAAAGTATCAAAGTGGAACTTATGGCGGAATCCTATGTGGTGTCAAAGTATATTAATATTCCAATAGAAGCTAGTCAAGCACTAGCACTCATGATAGAAAAACAATTAGATATTATTGAGGGAGTAAATCCAAGCATAGGCTTAGTCTTAGGAAAATATAATCTGTCCGTTAGTAACATATAATTTACTTTTAAGGATAGTTTTATGCAAAAGTGTAATAAATTGAAATTGGATCTTATGTGGCTAGCATTTTTGCTAATTATCGCATTTGAAGAATAGTGGAACGAATTATGGTAACAACTAGAACATGATGAACGAGGATAGATGTTACGTTCTGTTCTACTTATATTTAGCTATCACTGTGGGTTTCGTAAACATGATAAAATAAGCACACATAAACCAAAAGATACCTCGAAACTCAAATTTTCTTAGCATATACTTTCCCAACGTTCAGACTAGAGAAAAAACGTAAATGTTGGTCAGATAAACGTTTCTCCTTGACCATAACAGTCGTAATCGGTTGATCAAGTATATTCGAAACGAAGCCTAGTTGCAGAAACAGAAGTTAAAGTTTGGCTTTATTATTCCGTTAAATTACTCACTTCAGCCGCATTGCCGATAGCCAAACTGGCTTGCGTATCCGCCCAGCCGACAAGATGGTCAAAGTTCATCTCCCTTTCTAGCAAAGGAGAGGTTGGCATCCGCATCGAAGCAACGGCAGAAGCATCTCGATTCGAAGCATCGAGCATCCAGAAATCAATGGCCATAAACTGATTAATAAAGCAAACGGCAGAGCTAGACAGGGGCCAAGTGGATGGAAGATTATACAAATCATTGTATGATAGTCTGTCAGACATTGGTTTCTTCTTATCGGCAGATTTGATCGTTTCATCCTGGTGATTAACCCCCAAAACTACGGCTTCAATACTTTCCTTCAGAAGCAGTCTACCAAAACTACGAGAAGCGGATCGGACCACAGCCTCAGTTAGAAGGCCAATAAGATGAGCAAGAATTAGGCGGCATCTCTCTGACTGTTGAATGAAACCGTCTGCGCTCATGGGTGCTCGGCTAGACGCGGGCCAGAAAGCAGGGAACCAGCGCCAAGATTGACTGGCTCCAACGAAAGGTGATGAGACGTTCGACTCGGTTGCAGCCAACAACATGGCCAGAAGATGGTTGTAGCCGGCAGCCGCAGAAGAGATGTTATCATAAGTGGTAGAAGTCAAGTCATCATGGTTTGAATGGGCCATCGACGTGTCCGATAGAAAACCGATGGAGTGGTCTTTTCCAGTTTGGCCTAGCACAAGACTTAAACCCTCAAGAGCCAGCTGAATAGAGCCACATTTAACCAAGCCTGCAAGGAGATTAGCATGAACAGCTTGTAAACAAGAGGCAGCGCAAAGTCGCTTTTGGGAGAAATCCTCAGAAGTGGGGCCTGCTTCAGGCAGGCCAACGTTTACTACATTGGACACGAAATGAGAGCTGCCGCCAGTGTAACATTTACTCATGAGTAGGCTAGAAAGTGAAGTCGAGGCATAAGTTGGTAAAGATAACGAGAAGTTCAGAGAGATGAATAGGGCTACTGGATTGTCAGGAGTCAATGAGAGTAGACTGGCCTTCGGGAAAGTGGTGTTGGTGGTCGCTATTCCGGATTCAAGCTGATGCAGAAGCTCGGGTTGCAAGAGGCGAATGATCAAATGGGAGACTAAGTAAAGGGAAAAGTGGAGAGCGACGTTTATATTATAATAGGAAATTATAGAAAGTGAAAAAAATGTTATATATATATATATATATATATATATATTACATAAACAGGAAATTTAATAACAAAATCTAAAACACAAGTATATTTTTAGATTAGGATAAATTATTGGCTCTATTAGCATAAATATAATTCAAAAATTATATTAATATAACAAAAAGACAGCTAGATATATACTTCTCACTTTCGCACAATCCGGCGGGTTCGTGTTCGATGCTATCAGATCGCAATTCTATCAGACGAAGCTTCAGCACTATTTGTATGGCCCAAGCTATGAAATGATCGCCTGCAGTTAGATCCGGCCGCAGTACAAAATCGCTCTCCTGTCCAGCTAATGCATCCTCCATTTCAAGCGCATCCTGGCCTAACTCTGCCCAGTTACCAGGATTGAGTATGTCGTCATTGTGGAGATGTTTAATCATATGAGGTTCCAAAGATTCTGGCTGAAAGGGCAAGGAACGACTAACCGAATTGAGGTTTATCAAACTAGACCAGCCGCGACTACAAGCCTCCAGCCTCCCAATGCTGGTAAAACGACGAACAGTTGAGTTGGGTGTATTTAAATGGACTCCACGCGATCGAGTGATTAGAGGAGAGGTGCGCAACGCTCCGGTAATAGCGGCCGGCCCAAAATCGAGTCCCAAGGCCCTGAAGCTGGCCGAGACGAGGTTGCGCGGCACGGCGACTGCTGCATTACCAAGAGAGCCGGCACTGGTAGATACAAGGGTGACAACCTTTAATCCAAGTAAAAGAATACGTTAATTTAGGATGAAAATAATTATGAGGATGGTGATTAGTAATCAGAAAGAAATATGATATGATTTGGAGTAAAAGTAACTACGATATAATGTTACCCTGGCAAAAGACGAAAGATATGATGCGAATAGTCTGTTGTAGGTTAATACATAAAATACTAAAATGAATTCACAAGCAAAGAATTGTAACGAAGGATAACAATAATGAATCGAGATTGTGTGGTTCCAATAAAATCACGAATAATTTGCGAAGCGAATCACGGAGCTTTGGTAGTTTTGATTAAGGAAGTCAAATTACTTCGTTGGACTAGAGGATGAGCAAATGAAAGAGTGTATAGATTTCTCGGTAATTTTTGGTGAATTGTCGAATTGTATTAGTATTTCAGTAGGCGGAAGCTTTAAGGGTAAATTTAGAATAAAATAGATAAAATTTTAAGAAAATAATTAAGTATAAAATCGGCAAAAATAATAATGAATAATATATAGTTTACCTCTAATGGTGAATTATATGACACACATGCCATTTGTTTATAAGATGGCATTTGGCCCCAATTACAAATGACTAATGGATAGCATTAGCAAATAGGGACAGAGGGAAAAGCTGAATAAGAGGCCATGTTAGCCTGGATTCTGGCTGAGGCCTCGGCATCGCAATTGACTCATAAAAATTATATACTAACAACCAACCTATAAAGATGAATTATCGGGCTACAGATTATTTAGATCATAGATATGAAGATTAAGAAGTTATCTCCCTCAAAGCAAAGGTGAATGACAGATTATAGAATAATGAAGAATTCAAACGAATTTTGCCAAAGAATCGAACACGCGAATTTAGAGAAAAACTAACAAATGGTGGGCTGTGAAGTACATTCCATGTACATGGACAACTGAAGAAAAAAAGCGCTCACGGCAATACAGAAGAGATCTTAGAAAGGGAAGAAATCATAGTAGCTATGAGAATGCGAAAGTAGTCTCTTATCCGATTGATTAACTTAGCAATAAGAATTACATATTTCATGGTTAACAGCCACAACTATGAAGAATATTGAGTCAGGCTATGGGCTCATCATTCTCACCTCTGTTGGAAAATGTCTACCTATACAGATTAAAGGAGAATTTCGAAACGCCATGTTAGCAGCCAACAGTGGTTATGCGATATTTGGATGATTACTTTCTATTCTGGTCGCATGGAAAATAAAAAGTAGACGATTTCCTGATCTTCATAAACGAAATGGATGAAAAAGTTAAATTTACCATGGATGTGGAAGAGAACGAAAACTTATTTTTCTTGGATGAAGAGGTCATTCGCTCCGAGAAAACTCTCAAGGAACAACTTTTACTAAATAAATCGCCTGTTAACCTCGTAATACCTACGAAATGATGATAAAGGTACTCAGGAGGAGCCTACGATTTACCGATTCAGCGTTCTGGGAAGATGAACGTGAAAAAATTCAGGTATTTCCTGGAAAAGGATATCCAGAAGAAGCAATGTAACGCAACATTCAGATCGTGATGAGCAATTGGTAATACGAGGATCATCAAAGGAAAGTAAGGGAAATAAAATAAAACCGATTTATATGAATATCAGGAAGGCTGTGGACATCCTCCTTCAAAGAAACCTAATGAACAGTGGATTAGGAAGAGGAAGAGTGAGCAGAGATCTCCTGTACAGCGTGGGCAAATGAAAGATTCATTGATAACAGCTAAAAGAATACACACGGACCAAGGACATTTAGTAAACAACACGAAGACACATCGCCAAGAAGAGGAGCATGAAGAGCAAAGGAAAGTCAGAAAAAGGCGGTTGCAGTGAAAAGAGTAAATGTGGAATAAGCCTAAAGTTACCGGTGTGGGCTTACTCGTAGGATAGGAAGTTAAAGGCCAGAAACATACAAATTGTATACCATTAAAAGGGCTAGGCTAAAGATTTAGGTCCATTTCAAATTCATTGGGGTGTAAATCCGAGCTGTTTGCACAATATCACTCAACGTTTCAGTGTGTGCGTGTGTTTTGAGTGCATTTTTCGTGCGTTTCTTTAGTGGGAGATGACTCTACATATGACTGACAATGTCATGAGTAGGCCTTATATTTCAATTGAATTATTAACATAGCTGTCATCCCAAAAGGTATTCTCACTGAGAGTGGACCGCAGTTTAGACCTCGACATCAACAACCCCATAAGTTCAAAACTATACGCTTCATTATACGAATTCGATTGTCGCTGGAGCTGCTGATGAGAACAGTTTAGCCAAGATCGAAACTGCAGTCCACTCCAGCCGGGACGAGAATACCTTTTCAAAAACAAGGCTATGTGAAATTAAATGGAAAAATAAGGCTTATTCATCTTCTTGAAGAGAAAATTCAACTACCGGTCCTTCAACGCCTTAAACAGAATATAGTGAATACAGCTCTTATATAAAAAACTAATAGTTATCTCGGAACATAAAAAAAGATATCATGAGGAGAAATGTTGACTTCGGCGACCTCAAGCAATGCATACAATACAATTTTCTTAAATGCTATGCAATACAGAATACAGAAATCAATTTTTTCGACCAAGCAATACCAGAAGATAAATGTAGTACTGAATGGGATCTGATTGGCATTGGTTATGGAGCAAAATATAACTTTATTTTGTGTCAGAGTATACTACATTTTAATAAAAGGGAATTAAAGAAACTTATATAGAATCGACGAGTTCTGAATGCGAGGACAAACATAAACTTCGAGACCATGCAGGATTGGTGGCGACACTATTCAAATAATTGATGCAAATTGATGCCAGACATCACGAGATCTTACATAAAGACTGCATTTAAACTAAGCAATATGCCAGCTTCATTACAGTAATAATAATAATTAGAGTAATAGTTTCCTAAATTTGGTGCAGAATCAATGCAAAATACAAATCTTACACCGGATTGTAATCAATTATAAAAATTAAACATAGAGGTTCAGAAAAATGGCCGAATTCAAACAGAACGGAACTTTAGGGAAGTTGTTTTTTGATGATTTTAAGCTTACGATAGGATAGATTATTATGAGATCTGGATGCCAAAGCCTTATTATTGGTATGATAGAAGGGCTTCGAGACTACCAGTAAATCAGCGTAATGAGATGTATTCACCCTATTTCGTCTAAGTTGATGAAGGACTGGTAGTAGAATTTTCCCACAATGA